CCAAATCCCCCAAAACGGGGGGGGGTTCACAGGAAAAAAAAAAAAATCACCACCCCCCAAAGGGGGGGCCCCCGCACCCAAATACCGGTCCAAAAAAATTTCCGGTAAATCTCCTCCCCCCTTTTTTTCCCCCCCTTTTCCTTTTTTCACCCCATTTTTATCCCCCGGGTTTTCCTTCCCGTTTAGAAAAACCATCGACTTCATAACCACCCTCCTCGCCCCCTGCTCCCTAACCACCACCCGACCAATCGACTTCCTCACCATCCACCCCCGAACCCGCCAAACCCCCTCCTCCACCCCCATCAACGTCGAGTCCCTCTCCATCCTAACCTCCACTTCGGAACTCAAGTCCCCATCCTCCTCTCAGGCGACGTCTTCACCCTCGACTCCCTCCCATTCACCTCCCCCTTCCACAACACCCTTTCCTCCTCTTCTTCCCCACCAGAGCATAACATCCCCCACCTCTCCGGCCTAATGTCCGCCCGCGCCCTCCTCGCAAACCCAGCCCTCTTCTCCGGCAGAAACTCCTGCCCCTGGGAGGCAGTCGAATACTTCCTCAACAAAACAATCAAAGCGCCCATGCCCTTCAAGCTCGTCCTGCACCACATCAACGAGATGTGCTCCCCAGGCATGGGCCCAAGCCAAAAAGACAAGGTCGCCTTGCTGAACAAGCAGGAGAGGGCAGAGTTGATGAAGGTCGGGGACATGACTGAGCTGATTGACTTTCTCGAGGAGAAGAAGCCCGGTGGGATAGGAAGGATGTGAATATATATTCAACATAAAAAAAAATGAAACGGGTACAAAGGTTTAAACACTATTTATTGAAACTTTTGTCATAATAATGATACTTACTCCTACCGCCACCATCCAAATATCACTCACCACACACACACAGACCGATACACACAACGGACAACACATATATCATCTCTCAAACCATAGAGATTCTGCCTGACTACAATCCCCCATTCCACATCGCCTATTAGCATTGAAATAGAAGGAGAGGTAAGAGATGAAACGGAAAGAAAAAAAAAAGATAAAAAAAAAGAGGGATATCAAAATATATATAAAAAAAATGATACACCAGAATCTGAACCCCTCGATATGAAAACCCTCCTTTCCTGGTTAAACCACCCCCTAAATATCCCGTTCGCTAATCCTTGGCGCCGGAAACAACAACAAAAAAACTCCAAAACAACAAATAAAAATAATGATAACGTCAACAAAAGAGTCAACCGCTGAAGAGGGAAGTGCTACCAGTCCAATCTCTCGCACCCCCATTATCTTCCTCAATCAAGACCCCTTAATCTCCCCCTCATCCTCATCATCCTGCAACTTAATCTTCTTCGCCTCCCTCTCCGCAGCATCCACCGCATCCTCCAACTCGGCACTCTTCCTCTTGATCGCCGCCAGCATCGGCCCAGGGGACACCAACCCCCCACCACCACCATCCCCATTCTCATGAACCCCCAACTCATTCGCCGCAGCCTTCAACGCCGCATCCGAATCCCCATTCTCCACACTCGCCCTAACAGCCGCCGCCCTCCTTTCCTCGGCCGACGACGACCCCTCCCTCTTCACCCCCCCCTCCTCCTCCTTGACAACCCCGTTCCCATTGACCCTCCCCCGCCCCGGACTCTGCGTCCCAGCCCTATCTGTCCCCACCGGCGTCGGCGTCCCAGTCCCCGGACTATCAACCTCCATCATCCCCCCAAGCCCAAAAGCCACATCCCCCCTCCTCCTCGTGCTCTCCAGCCTAAACTCCGGACTGGGAGGACGCTTCTCCTGCTTCCGCAGCGGGTTCTCCCTATAAAACTCACACATCAAATTCACCCCCAACGCCGCCATCTCCTCCGTCCCCCCCAAGTACACCCACCAGCTCTGGCCCCTCACATCCCCAATCTGCACCTTGTTCACCGTCGCCGAGAAGAAAATCGCCGAGATGGCCACCTCCCTCGTGCTCAACACCAACGGCAGCACCGTCAGACACGCGTCGTTGCAAAAAGCCCAGACCCCATCCCGCAGCTTGTGGTTTTTGATCAGATCCAGCTCCGCCAGCAGGTCAAAAATCTCGCCGTAGGGGTTATTAATCATGAGATCGAAGGTAAGCGTCTCGAGCATGATCTCCTCAAACGCAAGGATCGAATCCCGCCACCGCCAGTACTCCTTCGATTGCTCATCAATAATCAGCTTGGTGTTCTTCTGAGCCACCTTGGCGACAGCAATGATCAAGTCCTTCGTCTTGCGGCAGTTTTCCTCCGTCTTATTCGCCAAAAACAACGACGTGGCGGCGATATTCTAAATCATTTTTCCTCGTGGTTAGTTCGGTTTCATCCAACTCTCCCAGGAATATAAAAACCCTCCTTACATAGTGATGTATGCCCCCATTCTGCTCAACCATGCTATACCGCATATAAAACCGATGAAAAAACACCGCCGCCACCCAAATCGTAATCTGCGGCAGCTCCAGCAACATGCCCGCCTGGTAAATAAAATTCACCCCCTTCGCCCTCCTCAACCTCTCCTCCCCAATCGGCAGCCCGTCCATGATGCTTGGCGTGCTCTTCACCTCGTCCAGCGTGAACAGCCACTGCTCCCTCCTCTGCTGCTGCGACCTCTGCGGGCTAGACATGGCAGGCGAGGGGGCGCTCCGCAGCGGTCGCGGCGGCGGCGGCGGCGATGTCCTGGAGGAATAAACCGGAGGCGACGGTACAGCAGGCGGCACTCCTCCTCCTCCCTCGCGCCTTCTCCCAGTAGTAGCAGGCGATGACGACTGCGAAGTGTTGTTGTACTCTGCGATAAACGGCGGTTTTGGCGGGTGAGCGGGTGCTTCTCTTGGTGGTCGGTATCGGTCAAAGTTGTTGGAAGAAGACATTTCCTTGCCTCTTCGTGTCGTGTCGTGTGTGTCGTCTCGAAAAGATCAAGAGACAAAAGCAACTACTCCCTGGCTCGAGCGGCGGCGGCGACTTGCTTCCTTCGGTGGAGAATCGAATCGATCTCTCTCTCCCCCTTGCTCAAGTGTGGGACTCGATCTCGTTCATTGAGCAGTCGTCGTCGTCGTCGTCGTCGTTGTCGTCGTTGTCGTCGTCGGAATCGATCAAGGCGAGCTGGATCACTGCTAGAAAAGTCGAGCGACGCGATGAAGAGTTGTAGGCTGTTAAGCTTGAAGGTTGGAAAAGCTGAAAGCAAACAATCACCCCAAGATTCAAGATCCCCCAAGACTTTATCGGCCTTTATCGGCAAACCACTTAAAATGTGGCCCGTGCGTCGGTCCCAGCAACCTGTGACGCCAGCGCAGCCCGCGCATCTCGCCGCCGCATCTGGGCCAAGTCCAACACAGGTAGGTACAAAAGTACTTCTTCAGAGGATGAAAATGGCACCAGACCAGTCTTTGTATTCGGGTATCAATTCACAGCTAGCTACTATACATTTAACATCCCCATTAATTCCGGCCCGGTTCCTCCCCTCTCTGGCTTGCAAGGAAGTGATCCCTAAAAGTCACCATACAGACCGGTTGCATCATTACGACCCCATAACTTGACAGTCCGATCATGTCCACCGCTGATGATCCACTTGCCGTCCCGGCTTACATCGACACTCGCTACTGGGCCAGTATGGCCGCTCAGCGACTGAGCAAGAGCCCAGTCATCAGCCGAGAAAATGTTGACCTTGTGGTCAAACCCAGACGACACCAAAAACGTCCCAGACTTCTTTGGCAACTGGTTTCCCTTGTCGTCCTCGCCTGGTGGCTTCCCGTCAACGGGCTCATCCATCCCCTTGAACCATCTGACATCTGATACCGCGCTTGTGTGCGCACCAATTCCGCCTGTCCTCTGCACTTTTCTCACGTCCCAGCATTTGATCCATCCATCTGCCGAGGCCGTGAGGACTCGGTGCCCGTCCGGACTCCAGTCCAGCCCGTAGATCGGCTTGATGTGGCCATCCAGATGCCCGTCCAGAATCATGACTGTCCGTCCCGACCGCAAATCCCAGATTCTTCCAATACTGTCCAGACCTGCACTGGCCAGCAAGGACCCGTCGGTGTTGAAGCTTACGGCGTACACTCCCCGCGAGTGTCCCTCTTGAAGAAGCAGTTCGGTTGTTGTTTCGACATCCCACAGCCTCCACGACGTGTCCTCAGACGCAGATGCGAGGTATTTTCCAGAAGGGTGAAACTCGACACGGCATACTCTTTGCGAGTGCCCAGAGAGCGTCGATAGCGGTGTATCTTGGTTTAGCGACCAAAGATGAACCTGGCCCTCTGCACCACCCGAAGCAAGGTTGACCGTGTCCTCCGAGATGTTGGCCTCGGGAAGGGTAGCACCAGGCCTCCAGGCCAAACCGCTGATCTTGTTGGTATGTCCTCGCAGCGTCTTGCGATGCTCCAAAGTCGGTATATCGATAAGCTTGACTTGACCGCCCCAATTTCCAGTCGCAATCATCTGTCCATCTGGCGAAAACCTCGTCATGCTCACATGACGATCTCCCGCAGTCTGACTGGCTTGCAATTCAAACGTCTGAAGCCGCTCCTTGATCTCCTTCCTAAACTTGACATGGGTACGGAGAGGAATCGTAGCCTCCTTCTTCTGAAACTCGACGCGCCGTTTCGCTCGGGGGATCGTAAACTTGGCGATTTCTATTCGGGCATCGAGAAGCTCCTGTGTTCCTCGAGAGTAAAACTCTTCCTCTTGCTCTTCCGCTTCCTCGTCGTTGCCAGCATCCTGCATCTCCACATCTGCGCTCTCCTGGCCTGTCGCCTGCTGCGCCTGCTCGGTAAGAAGCTCTCGTAACCTGTCGCGTCGATCGACCGGTCCTTCGCCGAACAGCGTGATAGGCTCGCCTAGCTCTCGAAGTTTGGCGCGGACACGTCCATCGTCGGTTGGGACCGCGATAGTGGCGGCGAATCGCTTGCGCTCGAATTGTGAGATGATGGCTGATGCTCTCTCGGGCGCAATGCCTGCGCCGGCTCCGGGGATGTCATAGTCGCGGTCGATTGCTGGGACAAAGTCAGTACATGGGAGACAAAGTGTTTGGGGTGTTATCGGAGGCTACTCACGAATGGCATCTATGTCAATGCCTCCACTTCCTCGGTCCTGCAAACGACGATGCGGGTCAGTTCGAGTTCGGGCTGTAATGTTGAGCGGCTGCGATTCATGACAGATAGGGGTGTGGATGATAGACCTTACCTCAGTGTCAGCCTCCTCAACATACGCCCTACGTGATGGGTGCATCATGACTGCGGTGGGTATTGATTTTGTTTGTATTTTTGGCTGGTTCCTGGTCATGATACTTGAGAAATGCGGCTTGCACCCCCAAGTTTGAGCGTCTGAGCTCCGGCAGGCAACCTGCCATCGATTATGCTGGGAGTTTTTAACCCTAACCCTGGCCTAAAGCGACAATCAGCTTTAGCCTGGTTTTAGACTCTTAAAATTAAGGTGTTCCCATCATCCTTTCACATTGCTACTTGGCACCTTTCTCCGGGAGGTGGAGGCATCAACACGATATCCTCTCCTGTGGCTTGCATGGCTTTGTTGTTGAACCGCCTCATGGGAGATCTTGGAAGCCTTTGTGCTACGGGTACCGGTGCCTGACACCCGTCTGGCTTGTTCTCCTTCTTGTTAGGGCAGACAATGAAACGTGCCGGCGTGCGATTCAGGCATGAAAGACACTAAATCAGCCACGGGCATAACATGCTGATTTGGCATGACATCCCTCAGTTCCATTACGTACCGGTTTGCATCGGAACGGAGAGCCTGCTTTTGCTTCCGTGGATTACATGGCCGTATTCGAGGTCGGGGAAGCTGGGCATGAATAGGTACCCCAGATGACCAAGGAATCTGGCGGCAGCGCCGACCCTTCAAGACGCAGAAAAACAGGGCGATCTGGGACTGAAAGGACGGCCTGGACCCAATGAGCGGGCTCTCCGGTGGGTGCTGACGCGAATTTTTTTTTCTCAGGCTCCCGCTGGTTGGGACTTTTTAGTGGGGGATCTGGGCGCCTGTAGGTAGTTGCAGCGGGCATGGCACCACTAGGCGGTGCCAGACAGCGCCGCATGTACGACCGCCCGGCCGCAGGACTGGACCGTGAACCACACGTTTTCTTGAAATGTTCAAAAATCAAGGTTCCCTCCTTCTCTCGCATTTTCCCACGCGAACAGCGACCTTCTCCAGGCTCTCACCACCACGACTTCCCCGAACGACCGACCCGACCATCAATGCATATCCAAACGACCGCGCAAGACAATTCTTCTTCTTTCTTCAAGTACCAGATGCGTGCGACTCCAAGCCACAAGGGACTGAGCCGAGACACCGAAGTGCGCGCTGACGCTGGACGGCGTCGTGGAAAGCCTTGAACGGTTTACCTTTTTGCGACCTCCGGATTTTATGAGACTCGGATTCGCACGTTATCGGCTCAGGACCTTGGGGGAAAACCAGGTCATCTGATTTCGATACATTGACGAGACATTGACAATTGACATATTAGACGACAACACACGCCACGGCGACCACGACGACCATGATTGCAAAGGCGACGCCCGCGCTCAAGACGGTGCGCGGGTTCAACAACACCCCCGGGGCCTCTGGCGATGAGGACTCTGATCATTGCGGCTGCCCCGCGGCCCCAAAGACCCCTAGCAGGCGGGCCCAGAAGGCGACCCACCTGTTGGGCGACGTCGTCAGTGCTAACTGCAGCCCTATGCTGAAGCCCGTTACCTCCCCTGGCATAAGCGGCATAGGAAAGTTGCGTATGCAAATCGAGAACTTCAGCCTCAACAGCAACGACACGACCGCCGCTTCTTCCCGTGCCAGCTCCTTGACCCGCAGCAGCGAGCACCAGGCCTCCTCGCCGTTCTCCAGCGAGACTACGATCAGCAGCGGCCGCCGTGACAGCCGCCCCCTTTCCCGTGGAAGCACTTTGAAGAGCCGCGCCAGCAGTAGCGATGAGACGGCTTCGGTGGGATCTACCAGTTACGAGATCAACCTCGAGCACGACTTTGTCAGCGATGTCCCCAACGCTGCTAGCGAGGTTGTGCCTCCCCGTCCTAAGATGACGGCGGACGACTTTGAACCTCTCAAGTGTCTCGGGAAGGGAACCTATGGAACCGTCTTGCTCGTCAAGGAGAAGGCCACAGGCCGCCTTTTCGCGCAGAAGCAGTTCAAAAAGGCCTCTCTCGTCGTGCACAAGAAGCTGGTGGAGCAAACCAAGACGGAGCGCCAGATCCTCGAGAGCGTCAACCGTCACCCTTTTGTTGTCAAGCTGTACTACGCCTTCCAGGACCAGGAGAAACTGTACCTCATCCTCGAGTACGGCCAGGGTGGCGAGCTGTTCACTCATCTCAGTACGGAAAGGATGTTCAGCGAAGAGACTGCCGCCTTTTACATGGCCGAGATGGTTCTCGCCTTGTCTCATCTCCACCAGAACCTGGGCGTGGTTTACCGCGATCTCAAGCCGGAGAACTGCCTCCTCGACTCTCAGGGCCACCTTTTGCTGACCGACTTTGGCCTTTCCAAAGTGGCAGTCGACTCGGACACGTGCAACTCGATCCTGGGAACGGTCGAGTACATGGCTCCCGAGGTGATTCAAGGCAAGAAGTACGGCAAGGCGGTTGACTGGTGGTCTTTGGGCGCGCTTGGTTTCGATCTCATGACTGGGAACCCCCCCTTTCGCGGACCAAACAACAAGAAGATTCAGGACAACATCATCAAGCAGAAGTTGGTGCTGCCTTACTTTTTGGGTCCGGACGCGAAGGATCTCCTTACCAGATTGCTGCGCAAGGATCCCGCCAAGCGCCTGGGGAGCAACATGCCGAAGGATCTGGAGACGATCAAGAAGCACAGGTTCTTCCGCAAGATCAACTGGAAGGCGCTGCAGGCGAGGGAGGTGGAGCCGCCGATTCAGCCGTATATTTCTGACCCGGAGCTGGCGGAGAATTTCTCGGCCGAGTTTACCGAGTTGAGTTTGAGTCCGGTTGTGTCGAGGTTTGATCAGGCGGGGAGTTGGGGCGGGAGGGAGATGGGGAGTGTGCAGGGAGTGGGCAGGAGGGAGGCTGTTGATAGGGATGATCCTTTTGGGGGTTTTAGTTTTGTGGCTTCGAGCAGTTTGTTGGAGAGTCATGGGTTTGGGGGGATGCAGAGGGTTTAGAAGGATGAGGTGTGTGTATGGGAAGGGGGAGACTAGGGAGAGAGACGTTTTTGAATTGGGTGAAACAAAATGAAGAGACCTTTGGCGGGACAAGAGACGGAAGAACTTTTTTTTATTTATTTTATTTTTAATTCGGGCAGTTGGGCGAGGCGTTTTTGGTTGTGAAAAAAAAAAAAGAAAAAAAAAGAAAAAGAAAACAGAAGCAAGCGAGCGAGGGGCAATTGTGGACACATCATTCTTCTATCTTTTACAGAGAAAGAAGTTAGAGCATGGCCAACCAAAGCAGAGAGCAAGCTAGACCGACTAGAGATTACAGTATTTCTACTATAGAGAGAGAGAGAGAGAGAGAGAGAGAGAGAGAGAGAGAGAGAGAGAGAGAGAGAGAGAGAGAGAGAGAGAGAGAGAGAGAGAGAGAGATAGAGAGAAGAGTGAGGTGGGGTTTGTCAATGGGAAGTTTGCTCTTTTTTCTTTTTTCTTTTTTCTTTTTCTGTTTGGGTTTGTCCTGTCCAAAACTGTCTTGCTATGCTTGTTTTGGTGACCAAACTGCCGTATCTCGATGTCAGTCGTCATCGGCGGCCTCACTTTTGTTTACTCATGATATCCTAATCACAACTCCTAACAAGGGATCGACCATCACTCTTCCTGGACTGGATTGGAAAGCGTTATGTGATGTGCCTGCTGTACATGAGCAAGTTTGATGACGCGTAATTCTCACACTTGGCAAAGGGTGTAAGAAGAGGCTTGTACAAGTGCGGATGGGATGGGATGGGACGGAACGGCAGAGAGAGCGTATATCTGCCCCCTTTTATACCGAACTATTTGCTGGCCAAGGGATCCCGAACCCCTGGGGAGGGGGGTTACTTTGCGTAATCTGAGACGAACAGGCTGGTGAAGGAATGGAAACGAGATGGTGGGGGAGGGGCAAGCCAGCCACCCAGCCGCAAGCAGCGGGAACTAGTAGGATCTACAGTCTTGTCCTTTACCTTTCGAGAAAGGCCCAGACTGGGACAAATGCGACTATCTACTTGGTCCTCACCATGTCAGACCTAACTAGGCTGGCCGTGACCGGGGATCACTGCCCCTCTGACCGTCGTGCACCGTTCAACAACCAGCCTGTCGTCATCCCGTCTTCCCCCATCCCAACGTTCGCAATGTGTGGCCCTGAATAAATACATACCACGGACACAATCTTGATCGACAAAGTGCTGTTACACCGCAGTGCATTTGGCACACTAACGCTCGTCTGAAGTTTAGTTGAAGAACCAAGCGCAGCCCAAAAGCTCGGCAGTTTATTATTCGCCTAGCCCAGCAGGGCAGGCGCTAGACTGAGTTTGGTCGGTTGGTTGGTGTTAGGTATTGTAAGTCGTTCCTGGAGCGGGCCGGGGGAGGATCTCACCACCACCGCATCTGGGGGTTAGCCATTCGTTGCCTTTTTTTTGGGCGAGGGACGTCATTACCCTTCCCTCTCGCTGTTCGTTTCACGGTGATGGTGCGTGCCGTGTGCCGTGAGGGAGGAAGAAAGCAAGAAGGTAGGTGTTGTTGTTCTTCGGGTCCGAGTATGACGGATGTCGGTGTTGGTGTCCGGGGGAAAGGGATGGGCAAACGTGGACGGTTGTGGCTGAGCCGCGCTTTGAAGGTTTCGTTCTATCGAAAAAGATGATGCTGCCAAGAGTGAGCAGTTCAACAGATCTATCAATTCGCCGAGCGTTGCATGTCCGTCAGCCCGTTTCTTTTTTCTTGAGACATACGTATGTCTCCTATCACACAAGGATCGCACTTGGTGTCTGAGAAATGGACTGGCGTGGATTGGTTAGGCAAATGGGAGCGGCTGAGAAAAGACCGGACTGGATAGGTACTGCCGCGCCGCTTTGCATATTGAGGAGGTCTGATCTGACTGACAACCAAGAGGACGAACATGGCAAGCGCCGAGGTGAAGGATGGACGGGGAGAGGGGGCTTTCATCCCATCCATCCATCCCATCAGCAACCGCATGCATCGCCCCGGGTTCGTGGGAGGAAGGAGGGGCTTGCATCAAGGAGTTACAAAATAGGAATACTATGAAAATCGTCCCTGCCCATCATAGAGCTGAAACCTCCCCTATAACTTCAGGCGGCCTGTCATTCTTCTTTTTCTTCTTCTTCTTCTTTCCGGCCGGAATATTTTCCTGACCTCATTCCAGCCCTATCATCAACCCCCCCCCCTTCCCGTTCTCGTTCCTGCATCAACAACACATTTTTTCGGGGTTTGTTTGTGAGAG